GGGAGTTAATGCTAACAATTTTGTATTTAAAAATTACATTTTGAAATTTGAAATACTTTTTAAATAATTGAATTATCATTTTTATTTAAATTAACATTCATCATCTATAAACTTCTTCCTCATTAATGATACACTAGCCAGGCACAATACTTTAGGGGAGTTAACTAACAAAATTGAAAAAATGGATTGGAGGAGTAGAGTCCGCAAGGTGTATACAACAACAACAACAACATACCCAGTATATTCCCAACAGGTTAGGGTCTGGGGGGTCAGTTGTACGCAGACCTTACCCTTGTAATTATACAAGGAGTCCGCAAGGTGTATAAGAACACATAAATATAAACTGTAAATGAATTGTTTAGCATTAAATCCGAAATCACGAGTCATATCTTGGAATTAAGAGCAATTCGGCAATTGAAATATTCTCCGAACCCAAGAGAAGTTCCAATTATTTTGGTTCCTTATTCTTTGATTTATTTAATTAGTTTAAATTGTCTTGTAGGAAATCAAGAGGAATTGCTCACTTACCTATTTAAGATGAAGGGACGCGCACACTAAACTTTCAAAAAGAGTTGAAGCTTGCGCAAAGGCCAAGAAGGAATTTATCATATGCGAAAATGGGAGATCGCAACAAATGGAATAATTGAAGTTCAATAAGGAAGGCAGCAGACTAGAAGATCTTACCTTATGGAGCAGCATATAAGAAGGCTTGCACAAACCATCTTTAGACTAACGTTAGAGAGACCTATTTTTCTTAAAGAGTGTTGTGCAAGTTGAGCGAAGTGTGACTGACTAGAGTGAATATTAACTTTTCGTTTATTGTGTGGTCCAATTAGAGAGGTTGCTCTCGATTCGAACGTGATTCATTATTTTGAACATTCATAGTGTTTGGATAAGCACCATCATACAGTTGGAGGGATTCGTAGTGTAGAAGTCCACGAGGAGTGGCTTAGTAAAATAGTTGAGTGAAGTGATTATAGCGTAGGTTAGAAAGAGGGACTCTTCTGTGTAGTTCCTAGTTGTAATAGTTTAAACACTTGTTGCAATGAAAGAATTCCGAAGGGAGGCGAGATGCTCTCCTGAAGATTCAATTTTAGTTTGTATTGCTTCCGCATTTGTGTGAAAGTTCATAGTTTACTTGTTAAGCGCAATTTTGTATTTTTCCCAAAAATTCATAAGCGGAAGCGACAATTAACAAATTTATCTTTAGGGAGCATCTCACTACCCATTAGAGCTCTTTTATTAGCAAATTGGTTGTCTCCTGCAGTATATAGTTTGGAATTACAAGTAAATGACTCCCTCCCAAACATACAACAATTATACTCGATCCTACTAACTACTTTCCTAGCCACAACGTGGACTCTAACAACTATTAACGAAATCCCTCCAAGTAAACTGAAATTCAGAGATGTGGACTAACAACTATTAACGTGAACAATACCCAAAAGTACAAAGGTCATATGCTTCAGTCTTTCAGAGATGTTACAAAACTAAAATTCTGAATTCACAAGTTATAAAAATATTCAACAATCTCACGAACTTTTAGAGAATAGACTAACTTGATATGCTCAGGATTAAATAATAAAACTCAGCTCTTCTGTTTAAATTTCGTGATCTAATGCATATAAACAAAAGATAAATCCTAACTATGCACATTGGGACGTGATTTTCAACATCCTTTCTCTAGAGTATGTTTCCTTCAATTATAATCTGTGTATATGACTTGGAGATCTTCAAAATTGTGTTTCGAAAATCTTGTAGAAATATGATTTTTCTAAAATAGTCGATCTTCTAAATCCAAGAGATCTTGCAGTGAATCTTTCTAAGTCATTCTTAGATCTTCTTCAAAACATTTAGAATTCTTCATGTGTGGGAAGCTCATCATTTTATAGTCCTTGACACATATTCCTTGTGCTATAAGAGAGAGAGAGAGAGAGAGAGAGAGAGAGAGAGAGAGAACTAAGTATGGTATGCAATCCAATTCATTAATGCAAGTGTCATATATGGTAAGTGAATATATATAAGATATATTATGTAATCATCCTTTTAAAGGGTTAAGACTCCATAATAAATATATACCATATATTATTAATAATAAATACTACGAACTTAATTAATTCACAAGTAAATAAATAGAAAATATTCCTTTACTTCTGTTTGCTTCCCTAACAAGAAAACCTTCTAAAAAAACAGTTAGGTTTGTCGAACAATGCCAAATCAATACTTAAAAATCCCCTTCTTTGGCATTTAGTTCGGAAAATCATGTTTTTTGAAGATAGTCTGCAAAACAAACTTAAAAAAGAAAAAACAAAGAAAATATCTATGTTCCAACATCAAGAAGTGAACTACTCAAACACTTGCAATGTAAGAACATCAAAACAGTTCCTATCACAACAACTACGAGAACTGTACAGAGCAATCAAAACACATCAAAGTA